GCCCAGGTTATGCTTCTTGGAGGTTAGGTTAGTAGGGCTAGGTTGAGCCCAGGGTTATGCTTCTTGAGGTTAGTTAGTAGGGTAGGTTAGGGCCCTAGGTTATGCTTCTGAGGGTTGAGGTTAGGTTGGAGGCTGGGTTAGGCCCTAGGTTATGCTTCTTGGAGGTTAGGGTTAGTAGGCTGGGTTAGGGCCCTAGTTATGCTTCTTAGGTTAGGTTAGTAGGCTAGGTTAGGCCCTAGGTTATGCTTCTGAGGCTAGGTTAGGCCCTAGGTTATGCTTCTTGAGGCTAGGTTAGGGCCCTAGGTTATGCTTCTTGAGGTTAGGTTAGTAGGCTGGGTTGGGGCCCTAGTTATGCTTCTTGAGGAGTTAGGGCCCTAGGTTATGCTTCTTGAGGCTAGGTTAGGGCCCAGGTTATGCTTCTTGAGGTTGGTTAGTAGGTTGGTTGGGCCCTAGGTTATGCTTCTTGAGGTTGGTTTGTAGGCTAGTTAGGGCCCTAGGTTATGCTTCTTGAGGTTAGGTTAGTAGGCTGGGTTAGGGCCCTAGGTTATGCTTCTTGAGGTTAGGGTTTGTAGGCTGGGTTAGGCCTGAGGTTATGCTTCTTGAGGTTGGGTTAGTAGGCTAGGTTAGGCCCTAGGTTATGCTTCTTGAGGTTGGGTTAGTAGGCTAGGTTAGCCCTAGGTTATGCTTCTTGAGGTTAGGTTTGTAGGCTAGTTAGGCCCGAGGTTATGCTTCTGAGGTTAGGTTAGTAGGCTAGGTGAGGCCCTAGGTTATGCTTCTTGAGGTTAGGTAGTAGCTAGTTAGGCCCTAGGTTATGCTTCTTGAGGTTAGGTTTGTAGGCTAGGTTAGGCCCGAGGTTATGCTTCTTGAGGTTAGGTTAGTAGGCTAGGTTAGGGCCCTAGGTTATGCTTCTTGAGGTTAGTTTGTAGGCTGGGTTAGGGCCCAGTTATGCTTCTTGAGGTTAGGTTTGTAGGCTAGGTTAGGGCCGAGGTTATGCTTGGAGGTTAGGTTAGTAGGCTAGGTTAGGGCCCTAGGTTAGGCTTCTTGAGGTTAGGTTGTTAGGTAAACAGAATTATAGCTGTATTTTCCGGGTCATGATGTGGGATGGACTGTCCAGTTGGTTGTTGTTGCCAGGTACCTATACCCCTCCCCATACCATCAACCCCCTTAACCTCTCCCTAACCCTGTCTCCCCTTAACCCTCTCTCCCCTTAACCCTCTCTCTCCCCTTAACCCTCTCTCTCCCCTAACCCTTCTCCCCTTAACCCCTTAACCTCTCCCCTTAACCTCTCCCTCCCTAACCCTCTCTCTCACCCCTTTAACCCTCTCCCCCTTAACCCTCCCCCACCAACCTCCTGGTGTATATTAGGGAGGGGGCAGAATCCTGGTCTTGTTCACCCTCTCCTGCCCCACCACCACTTGCTCTCACCACTCAACTCCACCTCCCTCACCACCTCACCCTCACCACTCACCCCACCACTTCACCTCACCACTCACCCCTCACCACTCACCCTCACCACTCACCCCTCACCACTCCACCCCTCACTACCTCCCCTCACTACTCACCTCACCACCACTCACCTCTCACCCTCACCACTCACCCTCACCACTCACCCCTCACCACTCACCCTCCCACTACTCACCCTCACCACTCACCCTCACCACCACCCTCACCACTCACCCTCACCACTCCACCCTCACCACTCACCCTCACCACTCACCCTCACCACTCACCCTCACCACTCACCCTCCCCACTCTCCTCACCACCTCACCTCACCACTCACCCTCACCACCTCACCTCTCACCACCTCACCCTCACCCTCATCACTCACCCTCACCACTCACCCTCACCACTCACCTCACCCACTCACTCCACTCTCCCCACTACTTCCTCACCACTCTCCCTTTCCACTCTCCTCACTACTCTCACTACTCACCTCTTCACCACTTCCTCACACTCACCTCACCTCACCACTACATATCATTGTCTGACATGTGGGCAATGTCATGGATCATTGTACTGTACAATTTGTACATCATGTCAAGAGGTAAAGGAGGGGGAGGGGTTACGTGTCAAGGATAGGTAGAGAAGGGTGAGGGAGGGGGTGAGAAGGGTGAGGAGGGGGAGGAAGGGTGAGGGAGGGGGGGTGAGAAGGGTGAGGGAGGGGGTTGAAGGGTGAGGGAGGTAAAGGTGAGGGAGGGAGGGAGAAGGGTGAGGGAGGGGGAGAGAAGGGTGAGGGAGGGGAGGGGGTAGACCTCATGTTGGGTGATTGTATGTCATGGAGAAGTAGGTGGGGGGGGCGTGGAGGGGGGAAGACACACCCATCGAGGAGGAAGATGGTATGTCAAGGATAGGTAGGTGGGGGAGGGAGGGAGGGGAGATAGATACATCCTTCATATGGGGTGGTATGTCAAGGATAGGTAGGTGGGGGAGGGGGGTAAGACACACCCAGGAGTTGGTTGGTTTGTGTTACAGACACAGGTAGACCAGGTAGGTAAGTAGACAGGTAGACAGGTAGACAGGTAGACAAGTAGAGGTAGATAGGTAGACCAGGTAGATAAGTAGACCAGTAGATAAGTAGATCAGGTAGACAAGTAGACAGGTAGACAAGTAGACAGGTAGACAAGTAGACAGGTAGATAGGTAGACGTGAGATAAGTAGACCAGGTAGATAAGTAGATCAGGTAGACGGTAGACAGGTAGACAAGTAGACAGGTAGACAAGTAGACAGGTAGATAGGTAGACCAGGTATAAGTAGACCAGGGTAGATAAGTAGATCAGGTAGACAAGTAGACAGGTGATAAGTAGACAGGTATATATAGACCAGGAAGATAAGTAGACCAGATAGATAAGTAGACAGGTAGACAAGTAGACAGGTGAAGGTAGATGGTGATAGGTAGACAGGTAGGTTGACCAGTAGACCAGGTAGATAAGTAGACAGGTTGACAAGTAGACAGGTAGATAAGTAGACAGGGTATAGGTAGACCAGGAAGATAAGTAGACCAGATAGATAAGTAGACAGGTAGACAAGTAGACTGGTAGATGGAGAAGTAGACAGGTAGATAAGTAGACAGGTAGATAAGTAGACAGGTAGATGGAGAAGTAGACGCACCATGAGCCACCTGTCTTAGGATGAATATTGATCACTCGAGCATTATGACGTGTGAGGTGAGGGGTAGTAGTGGTGGTGAGGTAGAGTGATGGAGGGGTAGTAGTGGGAGGTGGAGGAGGTGAGGTAGGGAGGTGGGTAGTAGTGGTGGTGAGGTAGAGTGATGTGAGGGGTAGTAGTGGTGAGGTGAGTGAGGTGAGGTAGAGTGAGGTGAGGGGAAGTAGTGGTGGTGAGGTAGAGTGAGGTGAGGGGTAGTAGTGGTGAGGTGAGTGAGGTGAGGTAGAGTGAGGTGAGGGGAAGTAGTGGTGGTGAGGTAGAGTGAGGTGAGGGGTAGTAGTGGTGATTACAGTGCCTCTTACAGTAGTGACTCGGTAACCTGGCCACAGATTACAGTACATGCAGTAAACAATAGCATGGGTACAGTTACAGTCTGGGGGTGTATAGAGAACTACAGTCTTCTCATTAGTGCTCATTAGGGAGTGAACTATCGCCCTGGGGTTGTTAAGTGTTTATAGGATTATCACTCTGGTGTGGTTTACAGGAGGTCGGGTTCTCCACAAGGCAGCAGCGGTAGTCGACAACCTTCATAATATTTTACCTGGTTAATGGTGGAGTTTTGTTGTGGGGTTAAATACGTCCCTGTGTTTTGGTTAATGTCAGGTATGTTGTCATGTTGAGGCACGGATGCTGCGGGGTGTGTTCCGAGGCAGCAGCAATACCATGTTATCACTATATACATCTTAAGGTGTTCAAGCAGGTGTTGGCTATATAGCCCCCCCTCACCCCCCTTCCCCTCCCCTCCACCCTCACCCCTTACCCTTCCTCCCCCTCCCCCCTTCCCCCCCTCCTCCTCCTCTCATCAGTATAAACATTTTACAGGAGGGGAGAGGATTTCACCTTGACGTATGCCATTAGTCACTAAACCTCAGCAGTTAATAGCAATAGCTTAAGAGATTTACAAGATAAGTTGGCACTGTTCTCTTCATCTGTTTGGCGAATTATTTCCACTGGTTAACTGTCTCCCCGGCATTTAGGAAACACGGGTAGAGTGAGGTGTCTGTCTTGTTGTGGTAATCTATCACTGTACACGGGGCGCTGGTGTATACATCTCTCCTCTCTCATTTGGGAGCTGAAATGCTGACTTAATTCTCACATTAATCTCTCTTTATATTATATTCCCAGGGAGAGATTTAGGACAGTCGGGGTGGTGGCTGTGGGCCAATAACTTAACAGGTTCATCTGTTTACGGTGAAGTGTGGGAGAGACCTACTGCTGTCAGGAAACACCAGGTCTCTGTCTGAAGGAGGAGGAGGAATATTTGGTTAGTGTGAGAGACGACACTTGGGGATATAGTGAAGGAAGGAAGGAAGTGAGAAAGGAAGGAAAGAAGGGAGGAAAGGGGGGAAGGAAGGAAGGAAACAAGGAAGGAAAGAAGGGAGGAAAGGGGGGAAGGAAGGAAGGGGGGGAAGGAAGGAAGGAAAGAAGGAAAGAGGGGGGGGGAAGGAAAGAAGGAAACAAGGAAGGAAAGAAGGGAGGAAAGGGGGGAAGGAAGGAAGGAAAGAAGGGAGGAAAGGGGGGAAGGAAGGAAGGAAACAAGGAAGGAAAGAAGGGAGGAAAGGGGGGAAGGAAGGAAGGAAGGAAACAAGGAAGGAAGGTATGACAAAAAAAAAATCCATTACAAATATCCTGGTGAATATAACACTGTGTCCCCTAACAAGTGGTGGTCAGTCAGGCTGGCGTGTATGTGTACAGCTCTCATGACTCGACACACGATGCTGTTGACTATTGTAGAGCTGTTCAGTATAATAACTAATTGTCTGATATCTTAATAAGGTTGAGGGCCCAATAGGAGTGTGTTGGGTCTATTGTGGCTTATTAGAACTTGGTGGACCTATTAGAACTTGGTGGACCTATTAGGGAAGAAATCTATTTGAATTGGGACCCTGTTGATGACATGGATGGATGGATGGATGGATGGATGGATAGATGGACGGATAGATGGACGGACGGATGGATGGACGGATGGATGGATGGACGGATGGATGGATGGACGGACGGACGGACGGACGGACGGACGGACGGATGGATTATTTCAGTAGCTAGATTGGTTGAGGTGGATAGGTGGGTCAGTTTATTATATAGATAGATTAACTGAGTTAGGATAGATGGATTGACGGAGGACTTGAATAATTAAATGGATGGATAAATTAGTCGCTAACACATTCCTGGTAATTTATATAATGAATAAATATACATCTCTATATACATATACATATACATTTCATGGAATATACATTAATTATTTTATTTATTCACATCTCAGGGCAAGGCCATTAAATATTCACGCTGGCTTAATTAATATTTAATTCTTTAAACGCGTCTGAAATTTAATGGCGCAAATGGGATTAAATTGAGGATGATGTTAGCAAAGGTGAGAGATTTGTGGTGTAAGCGCTGGACGAGCCATTATGGTGCTTGTACCTTAAGTATGATGAGTTGGTCTTGGTGTAAGCACTGGACGAGCCATTATGGTGCTTGTACCTTAAGTATGATGAGTTGGTCTTGGTGTAAGCGCTGGACGAGCCATTATGGTGCTTGTACCTTAAGTATGATGAGTTGGTCTTGGTGTAAGCGCTGGACGAGCCATTATGGTGCTTGTACCTTAAGTATGATGAGTTGGTCTTGGTGTAAGAGCTGGACGAGCCATTATGATGCTTGTACCTTAAGTATGATGAGTTGGTCTTGGTGTAAGCGCTGGTCGAGCCATTATGGTGCTTGTACCTTAAGTATGATGAGTTGGTCTTGGTGTAAGAGCTGGACGAGCCATTATGGTGCTTGTACCTTAAGTATGATGAGTTGGTCTTGGTGTAAGCACTGAACGAGCCATTATGGTGCTTGTACCTTAATGATGAGTTGGTCTTGGTGTAAGCACTGAACGAGCCATTATGGTGCTTGTACCTTAAGTATGATGAGTTGGTCTTGGTGTAAGCACTGATGGTGCTTGAGTATGATGAGTTGGTCTTGGTGTAAGAGCTGGACGAGCCATTATGGTGCTTGTACCTTAAGTATGATGAGTTGGTCTTGGTGTAAGCACTGGTCGAGCCATTATGGTGCTTGTACCATGATGAGTTGGTCTTGGTGTAAGCGCTATTATGGTGCTTGTACCTTAAGTATGATGAGTTGGTCTTGGTGTAAGAAGCATTATGGTGCTTGTACCTTAAGTATGATGAGTTGGTCTTGGTGTAAGCAGATTATGGTGCTTGTACCTTAAGTATGATGAGTTGGTCTTGGTGTAAGCACTGAACGAGCCATTATGGTGCTTGTACCTTAAGTATGATGAGTTGGTCTTGGTGTAAGAGCTGGACGAGCCATTATGGTGCTTGTACCTTAAGTATGATGAGTTGGTCTTGGTGTAAGAGCTGGACGAGCCATTATGGTGCTTGTACCTTAAGTATGATGAGTTGGTCTTGGTGTAAGCACTGGTCGAGCCATTATGGTGCTTGTACCTTAAGTATGATGAGTTGGTCTTGGTGTAAGCACTGGTCGAGCCATTATGGTGCTTGTACCTTAAGTATGATGAGTTGGTCTTGGTGTAAGTGCTGGACGAGCCATTATGGTGCTTGTGCCTTAAGTATGATGAGTTGGTCTTGGTGTAAGCACTGGTCGAGCCATTATGGTGCTTGTACCTTAAGTATGATGAGTTGGTCTTGGTGTAAGCGCTGGACGAGCCATTATGGTGCTTGTACCTTAAGTATGATGAGTTGGTCTTGGTGTAAGCACTGGTCGAGTCATTATGGTGCTTGTACCTTAAGTATGATGAGTTGGTCTTGGTGTAAGCACTGGACGAGCCATTATGGTGCTTGTACCTTAAGTATGATGAGTTGGTCTGTTGTTAATCCCTTTCTTGAGTATAGTGATTTAACCCCCCTTGAATACAGTGGTTTAATACCTTCTTGAATACTGTGGTTTAACCCCTTTGAATACAGTGCTTTTAACCCTTTAACCCTTTTAACCCTTCCTTGAGTACAGTGGTTTAACCCCCTTGAGTACAGTGGTTTAACCCTCTTTGAGTACAGTAGTTAAACCCCCTCGTGTACAGTGGTTTAATCCATTCAGCACAGTGGTTTAATCCCCCTTTTTGATACAGTGGCTAAACCCTTTTGATTATACTGGTTTAACCCTCTTTGAGTACAGTGGTTTAACCCCCTTTGAGACTGTGATTTAATCCCTTCGAGTACAGTGGTTTCAGTACGGCGCCGTAACACCTCGAATACGATTACATGGTTCATTGAGGTTGACATGAAACCCTGGAAGCTGACGAGAAGCCTCCTGGAATCCCATAGGTTATTGAAGCCCTGGGTTGTGTCTGCCAGCACTGTATTATGATAAGTAGTGACCCCGACGCCCTGCCTATTCTTACGTAAACAAACATGGCATTGACTTTACCACTGGATGCATTATTGTTTTTCTTTGGGGTAAATGTTTCTAGGGCCTGAACTGTCACGGAATGAGGAAAAAACACTGAAACTTTTTGTATTCACTAAAGCAGATGAATCAAAACAGATCTGAAGTGGTTTGTGTTCTCTGAAGTAGATGAACCGAATTCATTGACACCTCAGCTCGAGTTTATCGTAGTCAAAGGCTAAATCTGTGTGAGCGAAGCGCGGAGGTGTGTCTAGTTTAAGAGACTTGACTGACTGTCTGGTGACTCAGTGGGCGAGGCCTTGGGGGAGGGGAGAGGGATGAGCTGTATACTTGAGGCTGATGAGCACACAAGGCCAGGTTGAAGAGGGCGAGCACCAACCACTTTATAGTTCAGTAATTTAATGTGGGGGGCTGACCTTGAGGGTCACGGTGTAAGTGTAGCTTATCCTTCACCTCCAGGCTAGCCCAGGTATTGTGATCATCTGTGTGTGTGTGTGTGTGTACAGGAGTAGTTAATAGAGCGTTTATGGGATCCCTGTTGTCACGTTTACTGTGAACCTTTCAGGTGACCCCAAATAATGTACAAGTGTTCACCTGTATCCTCCTGCGGTTACAGGCGTGTATTTTTTTCAAGGGCCAACTTAAAGTTCACATTTAACGTGACACCAGGGAGTATTTGTTCCCATATACTCATTATAAATGTCTCCTGTACACACACAACGCGCCGTTAATGTCTCTTGTGCACACAGACGCACAAGTAACGTCTCTTGTACACACAGGCTCCAAACAACAGTTTTATTCCAATTTTGATCCTATGAAATAACCATTTAAGCATCGTTAACCTTGTCTTTGTTTATACAAGACACACATTTTTAAACTTGCGAAGTTGTGGAGCAGTGTTGCGTTGTTGCAGGAGTAGAGACGGCGGCGGGTGGTGTGTGACACGTGCAGCGCCGTGTGCAGCATAGCGGGGCTGGCTCACTGTGTCCGCTAAACCCAGGTTCCAGAATATGTGAAGGCTCGCATGATGACTGTTCCTCGTAACTGATGGTGTAAAACTGTAGCTGACGGGTTGATCTATTAAGGCATAAACACAATGTCCAAAATAATTTTAAAATTACACCAAGGATCCACTGTATGTTACCACACGGTCGCTGACCATCAGTTAGGAGAGAAATTAATGTAGAAAGTCTGACTATTTTTTTTTTGAACGTTAATCTTGTGTTTTAGTTTGAGTCAACCACTGAGATATATCTTTAAACCTTCACATATAAGATATAGTGGTGGTTTTATCTCTGTTAACCTGGCCCGAGGGTGAATGTCCACGAGCACTGAGAGGGAGGGAGATCAACCTGGCTGTCAACCCCGTTCACTGGTGGTCGTCAGTGAGTGGGTCAGTGTACAGCTCACGGTGCTCTACTAACAGCTGGTCACATGACGCGTATAGGGTCATTTCATGGGTTCGAAAGTGGCTCTGGCTGTGTGTGTGCGCGCGCGTGCGTGCAGGTGACGTTTATAGTGCGTTATGGCAGCGAAGATCACGAGTGTCACTAATATGCACCACCTGGCGTGAGTTTGGCACGTTACTCGAGTGCAGTCTAGCCCGCCTGCGGTAAAAGCAACCCGCCACACCCACCGTGCTAACCTAGTGGGTTTTAGTGTTTGCTTGTTTTCGAATTGACGAATTTTGTTGCAAATGATTTTTTTATTATTTTTATTTAACTTAATGGAAATTAATTCATATATGGTAAAATTTGCTGTCGTCTACTACCATAATATAACATGCATATATATATATATAATCTGCTTCCGCCTGTCTGTTCTATTTACGTATCCACCCAGCGATCATAAATAGAATAACGAAGAAAGCAGCCAGACGGACTTGAGATAGAGCCCCGCCCCGCCCCACCCCGCCCCACCTCACCCCGCCCCACCCCACCCCGCCCCACCCCGCGAGTTATACTTCCTGTTCTCCTCAAGTCGAGCAACAGTTTTTTCTTTTACTTGGTCATTACGTAACCAATCTTACGGTGGTATTTTACTGTGGTGGTTACGTGCTGTGGTCGACGAGCTGTCACTTCCGAGGGTGAGTGGCAGGGGAGGAGGGGGGGGGTAAGGAGAGGGAGGGGTGGGGGGAGGAAAAAAAAGGTGGGAGTGGAGGGAGGCTGAAGGAAGGGTTGTCACGTTGTTGTGGTGTGAGTCATGCTGGTAACCTCGCCTCTTCCTCCACCTGAGCCCTCCACACGCACACACACACCTCTCTTTACTTTCTGTGTGTGTGTCTGTGTGTGTGTGTGTGTGTGTGTCAGTTGAGGCAGCACCACCGTTACACCCTAATACTGGTGGTTTTTCCTGGTATGTCAGACTGGTGACTGGTTAAATGGACCCCCAGTTCATAATAGGTCCCAGTCCCAATTCTCCCTAGTCCCAATGAGTTCAAATCCTAATAGGTACCAGTCCCAGTGGGTGCCTATCCTAATAGACCCAGTCCTTAGGGGATCTGAACCTGACGGGCCGCAATCCTGGGAGTTAAAACAGCCGAACTGGGACCTATTAGGGCTGGGGCCTATTAGAATTGGGACTTACGAGAACTGGGACCTATTGGGACTGGGACCTATTAGAATTGGGACCTATGAGAACTGGGGCCTATTAGGGCTGGGACCTATTAGAATTGGGACCTACGAGAACTGGTACCTATTGGAATTGGGACCTACGAGAACTGGGACCTATTGGAATTGGGACCTACGAGAACTGGGACCTATTAGGAGTGAGACCTATTAAAAGCGGGGCAATATTAGAACTGGGACGTGGGTAAATTTTCTTGGTAAGGTAGGTGTGTATGTATGTATGTATGTGTGTATGTATGTATGTATGTATGTATGTTACAAGCAGGGCACTCAGCTGCAGGTTCCAGTAACGGGGTCTCATTATGTTTTATGCCTTGTTGAAGAGTTTCCTGTTCGGGGGTGAATTTTCGGAGTGGTTGACGTCGTATTATTGGAACGTTATTGTGATGGTGGGTTAGGTTAGGTGTGTGTGTGTGTGTGTTTATTCCTCCTTTCATTACCTTTTCTCTTGTTATTCTTATCTTTCACCTCCTTCTTTATTCCCGTTGTGTTTTAACTCCTTGACCCGCTCTACCTAATAATGGAAGGCTGTTAAACATATTGGTGGAATTTTACGGATTTTTTTTGTAATGTTTTTGTTTAGTTTTTGTATTTTTTGTGCTTTGTGTTTGTAATGTTTTTGTAATTTTATGTAATGTTTTGTGTAATGTTTTTGTAATGTTTTTTTGTACTGGTTTTGTATTGTTTCTGTAATATTTTTAGTAATGTTTTTGTTTATTTTTGTAATATTTTTGTTTTTTGTTGTTTTTGTAATGTTTTTGTAAATTTTTGCAATGTTTTATCTTAGGTATTTTATTAATTGATGTTTCTTGTTATATCGGGAACGCCACAGGAATTACAATTGAACTCGAATCATGATTTTGAGGGACGTGATATATACAGTATAAGCCCAGTAATACTTCCTATCATGCCCTTAATGTGATGTCTTATGGTGATATATACAGTGTAAGAACAGTAATACTTCCTATCTGCCCTTAACGTGATGTCTTATGGTGATATATACAGTGTAAGAACAGTAATACTTCCTATCATGCCCTTAACGTGATGTCTTATGGTGATATATACAGTATAAGCCCAGTAATACTTCCTATCATGCCCTTAACGTGATGTCTTATGGTGATATATACAGTATAAGCCCAGTAATACTTCCTATCATGCCCTTAACGTGATTTCTTATGGTGATATATTCAGTATAAGCCCAGTAATACTTCCTATCATGCCCTTAACGTGATGTCTTATGGTGATATATTCAGTATAAGCCCAGTAATACTTCCTATCATGCCCATAACGTGATGTCTTATGGTGATATATTCAGTATAAGCCCAGTAATACTTCCTATCATGCCCTTAACGTGATGTCTTATGGTGATATATACAGTATAAGCCCAGTAATACTTCCTATCATGCCCTTAACGTGATGTCTTATGGTGATATATACAGTATAAGGACAGTAATACGTCCTATCATGACCTTAACGTGATGTCTTATGGTGATATATACAGTGTAAGAACAGTAATACTTCCTATCATGCCCTTAACGTGATGTCTTATGGTGATATATACAGTGTAAGAACAGTAATACTTCCTATCATGCCCTTAACGTGATGTCTTATGGTGATATATACAGTATAAGCCCAGTAATACTTCCTATCATGCCCTTAACGTGATGTCTTATGGTGATATATACAGTATAAGGACAGTATACGTCCTATCATGACCTTAACGTGATGTCTTATGGTGATATATACAGTGTAAGAACAGTAATACTTCCTATCATGCCCTTAACGTGATGTCTTATGGTGATATATACAGTGTAAGAACAGTAATACTTCCTATCATGCCCTTAACGTGATGTCTTATGGTGATATATACAGTATAAGCCCAGTAATACTTCCTATCATGCCCTTAACGTGATGTCTTATGGTGATATATACAGTATAAGCCCAGTAATACTTCCTATCATGCCCTTAACGTGATGTCTTATGGTGATATATTCAGTATAAGCCCAGTAATACTTCCTATCATGCCCTTAACGTGATGTCTTATGGTGATATATTCAGTATAAGCCTGTAATACTTCCTATCATGCCCTTAACGTGATGTCTTATGGTGATATATACAGTATAAGCCCAGTAATACTTCCTATCATGCCCTTAACGTGATGTCTTATGGTGATATATACAGTATAAGCCCAGTAATACTTCTATCATGCCCTTAACGTGATGTCTTATGGTGATATATTCAGTATAAGCCCAGTAATACTTCCTATCATGCCCTTAACGTGATGTCTTATGGTGATATATACAGTATAAGCCCAGTAATACTTCCTATCATGCCCTTAACGTGATGTCTTATGGTGATATATACAGTATAAGCCCAGTAATACTTCCTATCAGGCCCTTAACGTGATGTCTTATGGTGATATATACAGTATAAGCCCAGTAATACTTCCTATCATGCCCTTAACGTGATGTCTTATGGTGATATATTCAGTATAAGCCCAGTAATACTTCCTATCATGCCCTTAACGTGATGTGGTATGGTGATGTATTTAATGTGTTTTGTTATCAGGTAAGACATAGAATTTGATTAGTGTGGTACAAACGCATGATATAACCTAACCTAACTAACCCTAACCAAAATCTAACCAAACCTGCACAAACCAAACCTAACCTAAAGTATATATGATGATATTTATAAGAACTCAATTAAAAATATACCGTTGATTTTTTTTGCATTATAAATCAAATTCTTTTTATCTATTATATATATATATATAGATATATATATTAAAATTGTATGTATTTTCCGTGGATGTTAATAGCCAGGAGCAGGCTATTTTACCTGCTATTGGTGAGGGATATTATTACCAGGCCATTAGTGAAATACAGATGGGAATAATATTTTGGGCTCTTTTATTTTAAACGAGTGTATTTTCCTGTGTAATTAAGGCAAATTCAAATGTTATTTTTTCCTGATATATATATACTGTGTGTGTGTGTGTGTGTGTGTGTGTGTGTGTGTGTGTAATAATAAAATAATAATAATAATAATTAACGGTTTATTGAAAGAGCTTGGCAGCCAGAAGGCTGAAAATATACAGTTACATATTTGGGGAATGGGTTACGAATTACAAATAATATACAAGTGACATAAGTGACACAAATAAGACATATAGTAACTTAGATGGGGATCAGCTCAAACTACAGTTCATTTCAACATAGTGACAGTGTAGGGAGCAGTGTTTACTGGGAGTGAATACACTGATTTATTACATGTTATTGATAATTTTTACAATGGTTGGGACTGGGCTGTTCTTATAGCGATCAGTTCGTGCACGTATGGGCTGGATGCGGTTGTGGTGTCGAACAGCAATTCTCGGACAGGGGATCTCAGGTGGTAGTAGGGGCCGGTGTCGGGGATGGTGTAGAAGCTTCTTACCAAATTTGCAGATGAGGCCGTGGTGATGGTCAGTGAGAGTCGAAAGGGTCAGTGTGTTGAGCGCTTCTTGATATGTGGAGAAGGAAGGGGAGAGAATAATCTTGCATGCCCTCTTTTGCACTTTTTCTAGGTGTTTACGTTGTGTGGCATTTAGGGAGGAAGACCAGGTGGGGGAGGCATAGGTGAGCTTGGGAAGTATGAATGTTGTGTAAACACTGAGGAGCTCATGTGCGGGAACTCCGAGGGACTTGAGTCGGCGGAGGAGGTGGAGACGGAAACTGGAGGATTTGACAACTTCACTGTGTGTGTGTGTGTGTGTGTTCTAGCACGACAAGGCGAGCTGCAGTGGGCGTTCTCCCCTATTCCACCTCCCTATCACCCCCTCCTCCTCCTCCCCATCACCCCCTCCTCCCCATCACCCCCTCCTCCTCCTCACCCTCCTCCCCACACCCCTCCTCCCCCTCACCCCCTCCCCATCACTCCCTCCTCCCCATCCCCTCCCCCCATCACCCCCTCCTCCTCCCCATCACCCCTCCTCCCCCATCATCCCCTCCTCCCCATCACCCTCTCCTCCCCATCACCCCTCTCCCCATCACCCCCTCTCTTCCCCATCCCCATCATCCCCATCACTCCCCATCCTCCCCCATCACCTCCTCCCCATCACTCCTCCCTCCCTCCCATCCTCCCCTCCTCCTCCTCATCCCCCTCCTCCCCATCCCCCTCCTCCCCATCACCTCCCTCCTCCCCCATCACCCCTCCTCCCCCATCACCCCCCCCTTTCCCCATCACCCCTCTTCCCTCACGCCTCCATCCCCATCACCCTTCCTCCTCCCCATCACCCCTCCTCCTCCCATCACCCCCTCCTCCCCATCACCCTCCCTTCTCCCCATCACCCCCTCCTCCTCCCCCCCCCCTCACCCCCCTCCCCATCCCCCTCAACCATCACC